AACTGGACTTGAGCCTGCAAGTCCATGTGCCTCTTGCCAGCTTGAACTTGGCTGACCTCCTGCTGACTTGAATTCGGCTCCCTCACCCCAACACAGGGAACCGTTAGATGTAGCCCACCCGCAGCTGTTCAGAGTTCTAAACTCAGTTGGCTCCTCTCCAAGATGGCTACTGACCAGTCACCCTCTCCGGGGGACATCTAAACCTGAATAACTCATCAGTCACTGCAGTCTGCTGCATCCACTGCTCCATTTCACTGGTGTGTTTCTCCATGGAGGCCCCTGGGATCACCAGTAATCACTGTGTGTCTGTTGGTTCAAGCTGCACAGTGTGCCGGGGCTCAGGGAGACAGTACCGCCTATCACCTCCCTCACCTTCATTAGTCTCTCTCTTCCCTCTCCGTGTGGGCTTCAATTCTCACTTTAGATCCTTCCTGGGTCCCAGGGACCCACTTACCTCCTCCTCCTACACCTCACTAAGCTATATTCCAGTATCATGACACCAAATCTCAAAGAGGATCTTTCTCTGCTGCTAACCGCTCTGCCATCTTCCTGGAAGTCTGGGAGAGGAGTAGAATACAGGTGGCAGCGGTGAGGAGTCTGCTATAATTATCGACTTCAAAGTCCCTTAAACTATTTATTCAGTGAATATTGTGAGCACCTAGCTTGCACTAACTACAGTATCAGGTTGTAACATCAGAAGGAGAGACTAGTATTCTTTCATCAGTTTACGATATATATATTTGTCACATAATTCCAAATTATGTGTTTTGCAGTCATTACCACTTTAAGTAATAGCATTTATTTATTTATCGGTACCAGGGACTGAACTCAGGCCCTTGTGCTTGCAAGGTGGGTGGCGAAACCACGGAGCCAATTCCCTGGCCCAATAATAGCATTTTGATGTTCGATCTTAGTGTTACACAACATGGTGGTACTGCTCCTTACAACTGATAGAACTTTGGATCGGTAAGACATGACTTGGTCCGCCAACATGGCTGTTGTTCATGAGATGCTGCGTATATATAACCCTGCGATGTACTGGGATTCTCCCTGTTACTAACCACTTCATACTGGGAGACCAAGCCAGGAAGATTGCAAGCTCAAGCTCAGCCTGGGCAACCTAGTGAGACCCTGTTTCAAAACAAAAAGTAAAAAGTGTATATAGTTCATCAGCTCACCCTCCTCCTGTTGGCCTTAGGCGTTTACTCAAGCATAGGTGTCTATTTTCTCTCTACACTCCCTGCTCCCATTCTTCAGCAGATGGGAGGCTTTCACTTTTGGCCCCAGCTTTCTTCCTGGGCTCTGGGTTATGACCAGCACCTGAGGATCACTGTGCGCTGCCGTGACGCCATCAGGAGCGGAACACAATGCACTAACTCACACCTGAAGCCTCAGAAGCCATCTGTATGTAGTTTTCCCCTCTCCCCTGTTGTACTTCATACAGTGCACCCTTGGCTTATGAGCTTATGCTGTTCCAAGCGCTGGTTGTAACTCCAGTTGGTCAACTGAAGGCTCAGGCTCCTCTACACAGCCTTCAAAGTCTCTGTCCTCTATCCAGGCATATGTCAGTGTCTTTAGAGAAACATTGGCCCAGAATTTCTCAATTAACCTCATACAGGAAAGGATATTATGTTCCTTCCAGAATTCTTTAAGGGTTGAATTTGTTTTTGTTTTTGTTTTTGTTTTTTTTGAGACAGGGTCTCACTGTGTAGTTGAGACTGACCTGGAACTCACTATGTAGCCCAGGCTGTTCTCAAACTCACAGCGATCCTCCTGCCTCAGCCTACCGAGTGCTGGGATTATAGGCGTGAGCCACCAAGCCCGGCTTAAGGGTTAAATTTGTACCTGAGGCCATCTGGAAGCACAAGCAGCTGGCATTCAGGTCATAACTCAAAACTTTGTTCATAAGTAAAAACTAAAATTCCAGTTGCAACTCAAGGGTCCACTGTGTTTAGTACGGTAGCAAGACTTATACATTTCCTTCTTGCCAAACCTTCCTTTCCAGTTACACCGTGACCCTCTCAGTCTCATTTGTGAGGATTCATCATCATCATTTTATATTTCCGCTAACACTTACTCCCTGCTAAAGGCCTTCCAGCTTTTCCTGAGCCTTTGGATTACCTCAAGCCCAGTCTTCTAAGTTCCACTGTGCTTCGGTGCTTTGTGTATATACCCATAACCTGACATTCCTTCTATTGATTTCTATTCTTCTGCACATGAAAATCTCTTTCCAAAGAGAGTCAATTCCTTGAGGGCTGGGATTTGGCCATCTTTGTCCATTTTTCCAGGCAGTCACTGAAATACAACAAACTAGGATTGTAGTTCTGGAATCCTCCAAGTGTGGACCTTAGGGCAAGCAGCAACTCCAGTGGTTCAGAGGACCGTAAAATTGATCATGCCCAAAGCAGGCTGTGAAGAGTGACCCCCACAACTGGCTTGATTACAGAAGTCAGTTCAGCGAAGACTACAGGTCAGAGTAACTCGCACCCATGTTCCGTTCCCACAACTAAAACCTTCTAACTAGAAGGACAAGGTTCTAATTACAACCATATATTTTGTGTATTCTGTTCTTAATTCGAGAATGCTTTGTCTTGGCCTTTATGAGCCTTAATTTCCATAGAAACTGCACAAAGCTTGCCTTCACCCCAACTGATTGCCAATCAAAGTGCTTGGGACGGGCCAGGGCCTTTCTCAGTTGCATGGGCACTGGCCGTCCTGGCGCGCCGCTTTCTCTTTCTGTCCTAGTTCTCTGTCTTCCGGCCTAACGCTGGGCGGGGGCTCCAGGACGGCGTCCCTGGGTCGCCTGGGGGCGGGTGGGGCACGCCGGTGGCTGAGTCCGGCGGTTACAAGCGT